AAAGAAAGAAAGAAAGAATACAAGTACAAAAAGAAATTCACTAACAAACTTTAAGACTGACTCTAGGGCTGGTGAGATGGCTCAGTGGTCTAACGCACCTACTTAGAACAAGCTAAGCTAAGCAAAGCACAGGGACGGCGGTTCAATCCCCCAGCACCACATGCCAGCCAGCCCCGCCCCCAGGTGGGCTGAGCTGGCCACACACACACACACTAAATTAATTAATTAATTAATTTTAAAAAAAAAAGACTGACTCTTATACCAGTGTCTTCATTAAAACCAGGGAAAAGCGACAAACTAAAGAATATAACTGCTAATACACAGATCCATAAAACTTAGTTTTTGCTGGCTGGTAACACCAGTTACCAATAAACCGTCACCCAGGCATTAAGGCACAAACCCTTGGCCTTCGTGTACTGCTTAAGGCCATGCTAACTGGCTGCCCCCTAAAACGACTTATCGGAAGAGCAAAAGAACAGAAAACACAGTCACTATCTTCACGAAGTCAGAAGCACTAAGAACAGAGACAGAGAGACCCTGATGACAACGTCACCGGTGACACCGCCTAGGGCCTGCAGAATCACTCACAGAACACAGCTGCCCGAGTAACTTGAAGGTAACACACTCCAGACCTGGCCTCTGAGCCAATGCAGCGAGCGCTCCTGGAGGCTGAAAGTGAATGCCTGCCTTTCCTTTGTGGTTCTCTTTCCCTTGAACCCAGGGCTTCAGTCATGCGCACGAGGCAAGCACTCTAGACCTGAGCTGAACACCCAGCCCTCTCTCTTCTCAGATAGGGTAGAAGCTAGCCTTGAGTTGTGATCCTCCTGCCTCAGCCACCCAAACAGAGAGCAGAGGCCTCTGCTTTCCGAGCTTGCCAGACATTCTTTAACAAAATAACCTACAGAAAATCATTTCCAAACTCAATGTAACTACTCCTGCATTGCAGACAGAGGGGCAGGACCCGAGTAAAGAATGGAAAATTCCTGACGTCACGCTACAGAGGATCTAAAACTGAAGATATCAGCCCTTACACTCACTTATAAAAACGAGCAGCTATGTGCTCACTTCAGCAGCACATATACTAAAAACGAGCAGCTAGGGGCCAGCGAGATACCTCAGCAGACTTAAGCGCCTGCTTAGGCAAGCTCAGGCTAGCACAGGGACCGCAGTTCGATCCCTGGCACCACATGCAATGCCAGCCCCGCCCCCAGGCAGGCTGAGCTGGCCAGAGTCCCGGTCTGGTGACATAGGCCTGGAATCCAGTTCTGGGGAGGCTGAAAACAGGAGGATCACTATAAGTCTGAGCTGCACAGTGAGACCCTGCAACAACCAAATACCTTAAAAAACAAAAAAGCAGCCAATTAAAACAATGCCACTTCAAATAGTGAATGCTATAGACTTCCTATGTTCGAATCAACACTGCAGTCAGAAATTCTGCCAAGCTTACTACTAGGAAAGTCTGCAAAACAGGCTCACTTTTGTTTTCTCTCTGGCTTGACCTATTTCATACTAAAACTATATGTAGTTTGAATAGAGTTAAAAAATAAAAGGGGATATATCTATGAAGTCATAAGATTAAACTATAAAATCACTATTAGTCCTTTTCTGCCCTGAAACTACATGACTTATTGTGACAATACCAAAAAGCTTATCACTAACTGTAAAAAACCTCCCCTTGCCCAAGCCACTGGTGATAGCTTTAAAGAGGAGTGGGGAATAAAACATGACTCATTTGAAGCAGAATCAGCTAATGACTGATTCAAAAACTAATGACCTAGCCAGCCCCGCCCCCTGGTGGGCTGAGCTGGCCACACACACACACACACACACACACACCCCTAATGACCTTGAATAGGGCAAGGTCATTGAGATAAAAACTGAATTCCTAAGGCTAAGGATTATTGTCCTCTTTTTCCTCTCACATCTGTGAACTTCTTCTTAACCTTAGCAAGGAACTGTGGAAGTAATGAAATTAGAAAACAAAATATTAAAATGACAGTCTAGCTGGGCATGGTGGTGCATACCTGTAAATCCCAGCACCCAGGAGGAGAAGGCAGGAGGATCACTACAAATTCTAGGCCAGTCTGTGGCCCACAGTGAGTTCAAGGCCAGCCTGAGCTACAGAGCAAGACCCTATCTCGAAAAAACCAAAAAGAACTAAATATAGTTACCTTAGATTTTCCAAACAAAACTTTCAAAAGAATGACTTGAAAGTCTCATCCTTACCTACTTCGAGGCCATTTTCAAGGGCACAGAGAAGAATCCCTTTCACCCTTAGGGCACTAATAAAAAGCCATGCACCTCCAATACGTAGGGCCTGACTTGGATCAGAAGATGAAGAAGGTATCCTCATAGACATGTGTTTACATTACTCTAAGGCCAGCCAGAAGAGGGATCACCCAAGAGAAGGTACAAGTAGCCAGGAACCTTCCACGCCACGTGTCGTCAACAAGCCCAGCACACCATCGCTGAAGCCAGCAGGGCACACATGGTCAATGTGGCATCATGGACACTCTCTGAAGCCCACAGCCTCTTGGCAGGCCTCACACAGCTGCAAATCAGTGCTTGTTTACTACAATTACATTATATTTTTAAAAAATCAGCTATACTTTTTGGAAAATTACTTTATTGTTTAGCTGTCTCCCACATTTGGATACTCAGAGAACCACCCACCACACAGTCTATCCTGAATTCCAAATCACTGTTCCCTTGCTTTGCTCCCGCTGAACCTTCCTGAACACCACGGCACTACACTAACGCCAACCCAGAGCCCTGCTGCTGTTTAGGTTCTGCCATTCTCTTCCATCCTCTGGCAGGTGTGTTTTGATGGGACAGTGTCTACCACAGATTAACTGCCTTCCTTTGAAAATAGGAAACAGAATGATTTAAGATCTACCTTGTTCAGAAAACATTACAGGGAAGAAAACTCCAATCTCTCAACATTGAATTAAAAAACTCCTATAAGAAGCCTTAGCCTTTGAACAAAATACATAATAAAATCCTTTCTTAGTCCATGAACATAAAAAAAAAAAAAAAAACACTTCTTACCACGTGGCTAATTCATATGAAGGAGGGAGGAACACACAACTGTGAGTCAAAAGGCCTTGCTCTGAATACTGATCTGATAAGGACAGTAAAGAGCATTTGATTCAAAAGTTGTTTGTTTTAAATCAACAGTCTTTAAAAATCCAGACATGTATGAAGTAGAGCACTGTGCATTCTAAACACTCACAGCTGCTAAAAGGCATCACTAGTACTGTGGCCTCGGGCAGCCATTGACGGCTGCATATTACAAAGAAACAGCAATAAAAAGACACCCTGAGGTCAGTGACTTCCAAGAATCAACCAACATTCGAATAAGCAAAAACCAAAATGTGCTGATAATTACTACAACACGTTATGTTAACCAACCTCCCTAGTCCCGCGCAATGAGCTCACAGAGGTCATGATGTGCACGGGCTGTATCCTTCGCTGTTTCCATTCTTGATTTAAGATTTCTGTTCTTTCCAAAATTTTTTGACGATTAGAACTAAACATACTCTGTAAACAGAGAAGAAAAAGTGTTCATTGTTAGAAAATGCATAACAGCTCTTAAGCAGATTAAAATCCAGTAAATCCTCAAAAATACCAGGAAGTGTGCTTCAAAAGCATAGAAATTTTATAATAGACTATAGTTTCCCATATTCAAATAATACCAAAGCACAACTATTATTTTATCATGAGGGAAACAATTTTTTCCATCCTTTCTTAACTTTCTGTATTAAAAAAAAAATCACAACATTAGAAACATAAAATCATGAAAATGTTATTTATGTGGGCCAGAGTCTACATATACAACATAAAGATAGACTTAAAATGGACTAACTTCCAAAGAGTTAGTTCTGAACAGTTCTTAGATTAAAATCTTTCCATCTTCATTAATGTGCCTAATACAGCACAGTTAATTCAGACAAATAAGGACTTTAGCTTCGAGTGCTTCAAGTCCTATTGATCTTACTGTAAACATGACCTTAGCTGAAAATGTACTATTTTGAGTTAAAATTTATTTTATTTGGTAGCAGAGGATATCTCTAACTGTATATGCATTTTTACAAAAGATAAAGTTATACCTTTACTTCATCAGCTCGTCTGAACCTCTTGAGCTGTCTCAGTCACATGTGCTCTGATTTTACACGCTTTCACCAACAAACAGGTCCCTTCTCAGATTTCTTCCCCGTCTGGCCCATGATTATTCTAAAAGCAATGGTTTCACATTAAAATCACTAATCTAACCAGCTTGAACATGATCAGCTGTCTCATAAGCCCCCAGCAAACTACCAACCAACAAAGAACACATTTTTCACTGTTCATACTCACAAAAACTGCTCATTTGCTCTGTGGTGAAATCCTCAAAACATTTCATTCTCATTTAATATAACTTTTAAAGGTATTTTATTTTTATAAAAATTCCACATTCTTAAACAGCGGCCACCTTACAGAATAAACATGACCTCAATACAAGAATTCAGCATACTATACCACAACTAGTCTACTCTTTGACATCCACACTTGGGAAGGAGAAAAATGTAGAAAAGTTTTAAATAGCTGTTACAGAAGCAAGGCATGGCTGAATACACACAGCTGGCTCCCTGTTCCCACAGGTTCCACATTAGTGGGCTCTGAATTCACGGCCTCAACCAACCCTGGGTCAAAAATATTCAGGGAAAGGACTCCAGAAAGTTCCAAGGAGTACAACTTGAACATGCTGTGTGAATCCACACAAATCAACTGAGGTGCTAGAGGCAGCCCCTGCTGTGGCCGGCAGCCATTTCTCAAGATCCTCAGCCTTATTTAAGTACTGGTGGTTCATGGTTCATTTTTATCCCATGTAGCTGGGTCCACAAAAGCTGCCTCTGTGCTGTCCATGTCAGGACTTTCTCTGGGTCATTAGTCCCTAAATAATACAGCATGCCAGCTACTTATAAAGCACTTTCATTGTATTAAATATTTTAAGTAATCTAGGTGTGATCAAGTGCACAAAGGCTGTGCAGCAAAATATGCAAATATTTTGTTATTCTACACTGTACACGAGACTTGAGCCCCCACGGACTTTAGTATCCAAAAGGGGCTACTACAGTCAATCCCCCCATACTGAGAAACCACTACAATTGAAAAAGTACAATTTACATCCAGCACTGAAAGTAACAGACATATAGTAGGATATATAATAAGTGTATAAATTAAAGTGCTCTCCTATACAATTTTTACCATGCTTCTCTCCTGACACACTCTGATAAAGTCTATTTCTGCTTCTTAGGCCACCTTTATTCACATGAGAGGTTTCTGCCAATAAGAGAAAAAAGAATACAGCAAATGCAAAGTAAATTCCTCCGCCTTATCTTTAGTTGCAGGCACTAAGATCCAATTATGTTTAAAAGTGGGGACAGCCTACAATTCACCAGATGTCCGATGCATACTATAGAGACTCCACCTCAAATCTAAAGAAGTGTTCTTTCCTAGAACACTTCCTTCTACAAGTATTAAAATCATACTATGGCTTCAAAAGATTAGGACATTTCTCTGCCTACCTGTTCAGAGCCTTCTATGCCACACTAATACTCTTTAATTTACCTTAAGAGCAATAAGAAGCCACAAAGTGTTTTATATAAAAGGGTAGGTGGGGAGAGAGCAACATAGGAACACAGGCAGCGAGGAAAGTAACACAACCTGGCAGCCAGGTTCTGCTGTGCAGCAAAGAAGCATCTGAACAAGGGAGGACAGGAGCTTGAGCCACATAGGTAAAGAAAGCCACTTCAAAGCAGTGACTGCCTCTGAATTCATACAGAAAACAGGTGCTGTTCAATGAGGACAGTTCACTAAGACTGCTACACTTTAAGATACATGCAATGAATTCCCCATTCCAAAGAAAGAAAGTGCTGCAATCTGCATCTTATGCTTTCTCCTAAAATCATGACATGTCAGGGCTTAGAAAGTGACCTTGGCCATGGTAACAGTAACCATCTCAGAGACCTAACACCCTGCCAAGCATCTGAGCGCACACCTGTAATCCCAGCACTCTGGGAGGCTGAGGCAGGAGGGTCACAAATTTGTACTAAGGCTAGGCAACTTAGTGTGGCCCTGTCTTAATCAAAGCCTGGGATATAGCTCAGTATGAAGCCCCTAGACTGGATCCCCAGTACAAAAAAACCCCACAACATATTAATGATAAGTTCTTGATCACTACTTTGGAAAGGGAGCAGATTCATCACTTTCTTGAGTTAATAACAGCATTAATTTCAAATAATTCGAATACTATCTAATGGTAGTATATTTATTTCTAAATCAAGTAAATATTAAAGGCCCAGAAAAGAAAAGTGGCAAATATTTTCAAGTTACTTATGAAGCCAGACAAGGTGGCACACGCCTGTAATCCCACCACTTGGGAGGAGGCTGAGGCAGTATTGTTACAAATTTGAGACCACCCTGGGCTACAAAATGAGCTCGAGCCCAGCCTGAACAGCATAGCAAGATTCTGTCTGGTAAGACCAAAAAAGGAAAGAAAAAGTTTTTTAGATTTTCCTACCAAATAATTTAAATATGGAAAACAAGGAAGGAAACTTGTTGCTTGAATAACTAAGCACAGCTTCACTTGCCTGTTTACATAAAAAACCTAAATGTAGAGACAAGTCGGAAGAGAATGTATACAAAGAGAGGAGCCCTGAATTCAGCAAGTACCTTTTTTTTTATTTATTTATGTATTTGGTACCGGGTCTTACTATACAGCTTAGCCTCCTAGTGGTCCTCTTGTTTTCTGCCTCCCCAGTGCTGGGATTACAGGTGTGCGCCACTACACCCAGACTCACTCGCTGGGGCTGGTGTGGCATGCAGGACTACAGCACGAACCCTGGTCCCCGAGCTTAACAAGGCAGGCACTTAGTCCGCTGAGCTACCTCGCCAGCCCAGCAGGTACCTTTCTACAGAATACTCAGTCACCAACCAAAGAAAGAACAGACAAAGAAAACAGGTGGTCATTTATTTAGAGCTAAAAGGGCAAACAAAATATTATGAGCCAGCCAGAGCATATGTAAAGTTAAAATGAATACACAAAGCTGAACAAACCTGCTCTCAAGGAACTTACGTTCTTCTTGAGGTCAAGAAGGAAACACTATTAATAAGATAAACACGTAAACGGACTACAGGGAGAGAAAAAACCATGAGGAAGTTCAGAAGGACGATAGCAAATGTGACCTGAGCTGATTTCAACAGGCAAAGAAAAAAGCCCAGGAGAAAACCGGACGGACAGCCACCAACTGCAGGAGAATCTGGATAGCGGATTCTGTTAGCAAGAACAAAGCCACAGAGTCAAAGTGACTGAAGACTTGAGAAGAATGAGTCGCAATGGGCAGGAATTTGAGGACTTCTAATAGACAGTTGGATGAAATCATCACGACAGAAATGCTCCAAATGGAAAGACTCTGGTGTGCCGTGCTTGGGAGCTGCTGAAGTGGAGTGAAGCTGAAAACATTAGCATACGAGGACCAAGGTCAACACTCCACATCTTTGAGATAAGCACAAATCAGTATTAAGAAGATGGGGTGAGGGGAGAGTGAAAATAGTTAGGAAAAGCCCTTGCAGCTTACGTTTAAAAGATAATTCTGTGGCAACTGTTAGCTTTCATATCTGGGAGTTAGGGAACAGATGGGCATAAGTAATTCCACAAAAATCATTTGCAGACCACTTAGCACTTTAAAGACCTAAACAGTGGTGGCAAACCCATGCCACACCCGCAGCGGGCTGCTTGTATCACTGAAAGCTCTGAAAGATGCACCATCAACTGACCTAGGAACTAGTAAGAAATCAAATAAAAGGCATTATGTGGAGGCTCCTTAGCTCCTAGGCTTATCAGCTGGCTCATCTGCAGCCTTGACAAATCGTTGGTCCTTGAGGGCAGCAACCACCCCTGTGCAATAAAGCCTATATAGAAAAACGTGTTTGATTTTTGACTTCCACTGTCGGTATTATTGCAATTCATTTTCAGCTTCCATATTTCATGTCTTGGTAAAGAGATATTAGTTAATATTACACATTAAAGAACTAGAACCCTTGTCAATTTTCGGGAATAATCTCCATGTTTCTACCATGTAATAACAATATTTCTAGTACAGTATCTCAAAACAAAATCTGAAACTCTTCTGAGTATCTTAAATGTATGGATAAATAGACCCATGAATAAATGGCAAAATATAAGGCACCAATTAGACACTTTACATAAAACAAAATCTTACCCACCATGTCATAGGATGTATAACATTAAAATGACATTTTTCATGTTTTCTAACTTTTTTTTGTTTTTGGCACTAGGAATTGAACTCAGGCCATACACTGGCCAGACAGGTGCTGTGGCACACTGCTACACCCCAGCCCACGTTTTCCACTCCACTCCATCCCTACTGTAAATTCAATAGCATAATCATTTTTATTCATTTGTAAAATCCCAGAGCCTAGTTGTGTGTGCCCAGTAAATAGACTTAAAGACAAACAAAAGGTAAAAAGAAAAAACAGATGTATACACTTACACTGATAACATGTATCTTATTAGCACATCATCTGAAGGGTTTAGCTGTACTGCACACCAGGAAGGGAAGGGCAGCCTTTCATGGCTGACCCACGAAAATGAAGATGATGTGCCCACAAAGAGAGAAGTATCCAGAACAGCTAGGTCCTATGACCCAACTGTTGCTACCAACCGAGATCCTAAGCACAAAACCCAGTGTTTCTGGAATTCCTTTTTATTAAGCAAACAGATAATGCCTTAAAGTCCTTCTCCACACACCTAAAAGGTTGAGTCCACACACCTTGCTCCACACCGAGCACCAGAAGCCTTCCTCTCTGCCTCCTTCGCCCAAAAAGAGACCCAAGCCAGCAATTATACCACAACAGCACAGCCTAATTACTATTAAAGCACAGTTCTGAATATTCATGTTAATGGAAGGAAACTTCATTGAAATGATTTGCTTCTGAAGGGACATGGAAATTGTGAATATACCTAACTTGCAATATTTTTGTTCAAAAAATGTTGTTTCACAGGTAACAGCACACTCTGGTATTAGTTTTATCCAGAACATAAGAACAGCTTCTCTTTCTTATTCACCATAGATCACTGTGTACAATAAAGCCTACCAACCGTTACTCTTTTATTCAAAAATCCAAGCCAAAATATGGCTTAGCAACCCAGTAAGATGCAGTAACACCTT